TATAACAATCAATAAATAAATTAAAAGTGTCAAAGATGCAACCACCATTTTAAATGAAATAAAACACATAAAAAAAAAAAATACATAACTAACCAACCTCAGTAACAACTGTTCAGTTGCTGGATAACTAGTTCACCATCATGACCCACCCATGCGTAATGTACAAGGACATTTTGTTTACTTGCTACTAAGGGTCTCAAACCAAAGGTTTGACGCTATGAAGCTCACAAATGTTAGAAAATTAAATGACTATCTGCTCCTCAGAAACACTGATTTTTCAGCTTAGTACTTTGTAAACGCCTTGTTTCCCGGTGGACTATTCAAAACCTGTTCACCCTGACTCGCAAACACTGCATGAAGCCAAACATTTGAAGATCTTTGGGACGGTGTTCAACAGCCCATCTGGAGTGATCGGCCATGTGTCTGTGAATTTTACATCTCAGAATATTTGTGTTTTGAGATTCATTCCCATTGAGTCAGAGGTAAATAATCACAAATTACCTGATTCCTCAGTAACAACGAGAAACAGCACTACAGCAAAATGCTTCAAAACAGAAGAAATTGTTACATTATAAGAGATGCTTTTTGACCTTTCAACACTAATTATTCAGATAATGTGCCTAAAGAAGAACAGCGAGACGTGGCTGCTGACTTGTTTGAACAGGCAATGGTTGGAAAAACATATCAGGTTGCCCTTGACAACGAATCCCTGCACACAACCCAAGAGATATAATTAGCAAAGCTAACGGCCGAGCCAATCAAGACACAATAGTGGAACATGACAACACGCAAACACCCCAGATACCCTCTGTGAATAATCAAACACACATTCACATCTAAAGTCAAGCATCTAGCTGCATCTAAAAATGAAAAGGTTTCTTGTGATGAATTTTACAGCAACATTACTTTGAGCCCAGATAATACACATAAAAACAAATCACTCAATCTGAATTGTTTTGTGCATAACTAACATGAACATTACTTAGGATATTTAAACACGGGGTTTTATTCGAGTGATGTTTCTCTCCTCTGCAGACAGTTACGCCTGACCATCACACCGCCCAGAACAATACACAATAAACACACACAACGACCTCTGTGTGTGTCTGCTGCCGAGAGACTGAGCGTGAAAGAACGGCCGAGACAGTGACGTCCTGATACAGGTGCTATTGCACGTCTTTTGAAAAAAGAGGCAGAAATGTATTTTCGGCCTTCTTTCTATCTGACACAGAGTTAAAATAATCAGCACATATAAATGAAGGAATTTACTTCAAACCTTTTTAGGATTTCAAAGCTGAATAGATGATTTATCCAGTCTTCAGTGTTACATGATCCTTCAGAAATCATTCTAATTTGTTGATCAAGTTCCCAATTATTATTTGTGCTCAATTATTAAAAATGGTTCTTATTTTTATCTACGTTGAAAACAGTTTTTGTTTGGATGATACATTCTTTTTCCAGGATTCTTTGGAATAGAAAAAGATGAAGTTCAAAAGCTCAACATTTATATTAAATTGAAATCTTTTGTAACATTATAAATGTCTTTACTGTCACATTTGATTTGTTTGATGAATAAGTTTTATTATTTTATTTTTTTATATCCCTTACCTCAAACTTTTGAATGGTACTAGCATATAACCATTTCCACAGAAACATGAAGCAGCACAACTGTTTTCAACATTGATAATATTCAGAAATGTTTCTTAAGCAGCAAATCAGCATATTAGAATGATTTCTGAAGGATCATGTGACACTGAAGACTGGAGTAATGATGCTGAAAATTCAGCTTTGCATCATTGAAATAAATTACATCTCAAAACGTACTCAAACAGAAAACAGTTCTTTTAAATTGTAAAAATATTTCACAATTTTTCTGTATTTTTGATAAAAATAAATGCACTTTTGGTGAGCATAAGAGACTTGTTTCAAAAACATAAAAAATATGTGTTTAGTTCTTTTATCAATTCCAATGTGAAATGGCAAAAAATGACAAAACTGACATGGACCTTGACATATTCCACTAAAGAATTAACATGAGTGCTGCTAAACCCTCCAGAATGTCTTTATTCACAGACTTACAATGTAAATGCATTACTGTAAACACAAACTGAGGGATAATTTGAAATTATTTTGAGCAGCAATCAAGTGCATTCCTTTAAAAAGACATTACTGACACCATGTTTGCTATTAACGAGCTTAAAAGCAGAACAGAGCGTTTGTCGGGAGTCGGGACTGACAGCGGCTGTCCAGGATAAAGATGAGAAACCCTCCACCAGGCAGAGATGAGACGGACGGGACACCACCCTCTCTCCGCTCCTCATCCTCTCGGATGGATCAATACTGCTCTCTTTTCTCTAATCCAATCTAATGTTGAACACCAGTTTCACATTTGTAGCCTGATCATCAGAGATCAGCTGCATTACAATCACATACAGATAGAATTACCCTCAGAGCCATTAAACTGACAGACATTCGGCAACAAAAGCAGTCAAAATAGAGAGCTAATAAAGAGAGAACAACTTAAACATCACAATTCTGTAAGGATGCTGAGAGCGCTCTACATGGGTCAATCTCACAAAACCTGTCAAGATGATCCCAGCACAACTTTAAAAGAAAGGAATGGGAAATTATATGCTGCTCATGGAAAACTAAGTATTTTTTTTTTTTAGGACTATTAATATTTTGTGCATTGGGACACTGTTTTCGTGACAATTAAGCACATTAAACGCCATAATCTCTTTTAAAACATCTCATTCTCATTACTATAATGGGAAAGAATAACAATATTTTATTTATTTTTTCATCATGGCAGTACTGCCTTGGTTTACGTTGGTTTAACAAATACAGTATCATTACAAATTACAATAAAAAGTAATGTAAATATTAAAAATGACAAACAAATTAATATAAGTATAAAATAATGGTCCTAAAATAGGATTTATTAAGTGCTGTAATCACCCACATGTACATACATTATAAATAAATAACATGAATTTATTCTCAACTCAAATCAACAACATTTCTAAGTCTTCCCTAAGAGTAAATGAACATTAAATAACGTACTAAATACAACATTAATGATTAAAAGCATGTATATTTACCTTTTCCACGTTTTCAACGGTGAAGTCTGCGGCTGTGTCCGGATCCATGGCTGTGTTTACAGCAACACACACCTCCTCTAGTCTCTTGAACACAATCTATCACCTTTATAAGAGTACTGATGATTAATATAATTGTGATAATATCTGCTGATTAATCTCACTGAGGTGAATTTGATTCGGCCCGGCGCGCGATCAGGCCGGTGCGCGCGAGCTCATGTCTCTCATTCTCATATTTCGCTCATGATAAAAACCCCTTTCGTATCTCAGATGAGCGATAAATATGACCGTATGTCACAAATGTGTGTCCGCGGGGTTCTTTCCGGTCCCGGTGATCCGGTGTGCGCGTGTCCTCCCTCTCCCGTTCTTGTCGGTCTGACTGAGACTGATTCGACACGCGCTGTGCGTGCCCAACCATCTGCCTTCATTAAAAAGAGACAAACACTATTCCCAGTTAAAATATGTTTCAGTATTATTCCGTTTTTTATTATTTTTATGTGTATATGTTAAAAAAAACATGAATAATTTAATTGTAAAATTGCTGTGTTGATTGAATGCAGATATGTCGGTTTTCCTTTAATCAAATGAGTTGGCTTTCTGCTCCATAGAGCTCTGATTTTTGATATTGAGTTTTTAAACTTGCAAAATCGTACAGTTTTTATATAACAATAGATCACTTGACTTTGATGTGACGTTCATTTTTAATCAGGCTCGATTTTTTTAATGGCCCTGTAAACGGACCTTCGCTCTGCATTATGGGTAATGTAGTTTTAAATAACTGGCGTTCACATGCGGTGTCACAGCGACTCTTTGTGGTACTTTTGAAGTTTTGCATGGATTTCGGCTTCTGTAAGTGTACAACAGTTGGAGCTCTCGCTCCATTATATACATTTACACAGTACATAATAGTTTTCTATTTTAATATACTTTAAAATATAATTTATTTAGGCTATGTGATGCAAAGCTGTAGCAAAACGTTGCGCAATGGGTTTGAGCTTGAACTTGCCCCAGATCTCTTCCTGTTTTTTCTTTTTCTTTTTGAGTAAAGAAAACGCTGTACATTATTATTATTATTATTATTATTATTAGGCTATTGTTATTGTTATTATTATTATTCCACATACTGTACATTATTGTTTCTCCTCTATGCCCCGCCTTTCTGAAATACGTCGATTTTTACAAAGCTCATCGTTCTGAAAAGCGAGGTGCGCTCTGATTGGCCAGCTATCCAGTGCGTTGTGATTGGCCGAATACCTCAAGCGTGTGACGGAAATGTTACGCCCCTCACCATACTGTGATGCCGTGTCCCGGAGCGACGAGACAAAACCAATAAAACCCATTACAAACGAGGCATTTGTTGCATCCAGTGGGGACATAATTACGGGTTATAATGACTTATACTGTCTTTTTACGCGTTGCATCGCACCGCGTAAACATAAAAAACCATGTCTGCACCATGTCTGCATTTGTGATCAGAAAAATGACAAACAACAAACGCTACTTTACACTGCTCAAAACTCGCATTTGAATCATCAGTGGCAAATTCTTTAATATAAAAAACGTACTTACAGTATGTGAGTCAGAATAGCCGGCATTGTAGTCTACTCTCCCAGGGTCAGGAAACAGTCCTCCATAAAATGCGCTGCACACATCTGAATATTTGGGTTGAAGTG